ATTCTTTATCTCTTCTCATTCTCATTATGATTATGTGGCGCATATGCATCTGGTGCCGCCTTGTACCAATATTTATGTGTTCAAATAAATAAAATAAATGTTGCAAAGAAAATAAAAGATTGAGCAGAAAATGTTTAGTAAACCATAGATACTACTATTTTTCTCAAAAAATGTTAGTGCTGTTAGTCAACTACTTGGAAAACCAATCAACTTTACGTAAATTTTTGACTTGGGGTCAAAAACAAACTCAACTTTTGACCAATAAGCCATAGGCTCGAACCCCAACCGCATAAACTTCAGTTTGTGCATTCAAATATCAAAAACTTTTACGTAAATAGTGTATGTGAAAATCAATAACAAAATGTTGTACTTCACCAATAATTTATATTAATGTTATATAATGATCGCTCAGTGATGAACGCATTCAACATATAATCAATGTATCCTACGTAAGAATTCCATGTCGATTGCTTTGGTTTAAGCAACTGAATAGGTAGGGCTACACTTGATTGTTTAAATTTTGGATGTAATAATGTAATACTACCACTTATAAATACATTCCCATTATAATAAGGATTTTAGTGGCCCAATATCGAACTCCACTTAGATCGTATACTAAATATTATTGAAATATACATAAAGGTTAGCGTCGTATATTTTTTATCTACTTGATTCGCGTTGGTGACTAACGGAATTAAATAAGTCAAACACGAGGATGAGGTTTGAATACATATATTTCCTACACTCATTGATCTGAACAGACAATTATAAAAAACCAAACGGAGAAAGCAATACGAGACAAAGCGCAGGCGAGCGAGACAGCTCCACTTAGTCAGTAGCGTTATCTGTATAATAGGTAACGGAAGCTAGTATTATAAATTCGGACGTGAACTGATAGGAGCTACATAGATCAATAAAGAAGCTACTTTTAAAATATACCAGGTTCTGGAGAGATCATTTTAGTTGTATGTGTGTTGGAGGCTATGGATGCAACTTGATTGTTGATTACATAAAATAAGGTTAGAATTTGGAACCCGATGGTTGAATAGCAAGTATTTGAACCACAAAATCAATAAAAATAAGTCTTTCTGTTGAAAATTTAAAATCAGTCACACTGTACAGTGATGTACTGCTTAGATTTGAACATAGGATTGATATGTATGTCATGAAATATATTTGTCACCTTGGTCGAAACAGCGAATGTTCCACTCACAAGCTTGTTTGAAGTAAGATAAAATTTGAAGGAACAAAAAGAGAGGTCACAGCAAAACGACACATCAGTCCATGAAGTCATTGATTACTGAATTCAGTGATATTCTTGGGTGAAGACTATCTGAATGTTGTTCACACAATAACCTCGAACAGTGATTGGAAATGTTAGATGACATGGCTCATAATCCATTCATTATCTTACTCTAGATACCAAGTTTTAGCATCACTTGATATAAATGTACCTTTCCCCAGTAAATACTCTTTCTTATTATTATTTCTACTTCCGGTTAATTGAATCCCCACTACGTTGATGTGATACATCAACTTGAAAAAACACAAACCATTTTGTTAGGTCCTAACATTATGACGAACTGTAAGAATGAATGCATTTCAATCATAGTGATTAGCATCATAAATTACAATGAATATTAACTTTTAACGTAATTCCTGGCTTTAAACAAAAATACGTCGACTCCCCCCCCCGTAGTATTTTCATTCTCAAGTCATTCGTTAATTGAACAATGACAAAACAATGAGTACATAAAAGTACAATTAGAAACTGATTTTCACAATTGGGAGGGACAAACAAACAAACAAAAAATGATTGATAGCAGAGTTAAATATGTACTACGTGTTTACAATGTAACGATTGCTTCGACATTACATTTATTTGCCTTTATTTTATGTGCCTATTAAAGCAATCACAAGATTACTCAAATTTCGTTACTAGAAATGAGAACTGTAAGTGTCTCTTTATCTGACTTAACTTTCCATATGATCTTCAACTTTTTCTAATTGGTCAAAACTACTCTTAGTTTTCTAAATTTCTGCATGTTTGAATATTATTACTATGCATGAGGAATTGTACAAATTCGTTTAGTTCTCCATGTTGTACTTCAAATATCAAGTTCTAAAAAATAATTTCGTGTTAGTGGCCAAGTATTGAATGCTAGTTACCGCTTTCAAATAACGCAAGATAACCGGTCCTAATAGAGTAGCTCAATCATTCCTAATTACGCAAATATTGTAGGATAATACTGAACTTCAAAATCATGCCATGACAGTGCCATACCGATGAATCAATAATACTGTGAAATCAACAGATAAAACTTAATAACGAGAAATAGTTCAGTTCTTGTTTCTCCTTCTCACACAGTATAAGATGTAAGCTTAACGTTCTCAAAAGGCACTATCAGTAAAAGATTGGATTAAAAATTTTGCTACTAATCGCTCGCAATCTTCTTCAATCCATTATATATAAAAAACTACATATTCGAAATCAGCTGGATTTACTCACTATATTTTCATCGTTTTAGAATGAACAAATAATCATATTTAATTTTGCTTGTTACTATGCACTTAAACATTCAATACTTGATATACACAAGCTTATTTAGACAGTTTCACTGATCACAGAATCGTTAATAACAATCAGGTAAATAGGTATTTTTAAATACAACAAAAAAATGTCAGTACTCTGTACACATTTTGCATTTACACAATTTGAAAACTACTAATTCATATGGCGGTTAGTGTCAAAATGAACCATACAGGTTATAACTTGTGAAAGTCTAAGAGATGAAAATAAATTGTATCACCAGATAGTATTTACAATTACGACAAATAGTGGGATTATTTGTTGTGTTTACAGAAGTGGATTGATGAATATAACACTGGCTTATTACGCAAGCAGTACTGTAAAGAAATTAGGTAAACACAGTTGGGATGGATTGTTAAAACTTAATAATTAGGGTTTTACCATGAGAATAGAGCAATCCATAGTAATGTCGTTTGCAATTAAAACGAGTCGGCTAAAAATAAAACCTAGGTCCTCTACAGTTTTTATTGAGACAATGTTACTTATAGATAATGGATTCATGATCTAATGGTTTACATTTCAATATTTCACAAGTTATCTTAACCATCAACCAGTGATATCGGTGAAAACTGTAACGGATCGTGAGAATATGCAACTGATAAGTTTCAAACAAGAATAAGCAACTGTACTATATTGCTCCCTGGTTTTCTCAATTCGATGTTAGTCTGCAACAAAATCTAACGAACTATTACTCTTCTTTTATTTCTTTACAATAAACTATTTGTCTAATCAAATGACTAGTCTGAAATGACGCTTAGCGATGCATAATAAGTGACTCTATTACCAAATGATATTAAAAAAACTTTTTCATTTCTAGTGATTTATTCTTAAAGTGATTTCCTAACTAGTCCGAAAATATCAACACATTTTCTTTTCTATTACTAACAATAATAAACAATGAACACGTTCTCTAATATCTATATATCTCGTTAATACATTGAAGTTTGCAGTAGAATAATAACTTCAGGTATGGCCGAGAGGGGGAGAGTCCGCTCTCCCTCTCGAAATGCTCTCACATGGCCACGTGTATTTAGCTTCTGCCAGGAAAGTTCAACTCACTGCCTTCTCGTGGCGGTGGTGTTGTTTACGAAACTGAGAGGACGAAAAACGAATGTCGGGCGCTTTAACTGGGTTGGTGGATATGGAGAATGCACCTAGAGGGGGGGTGGAAAATCCTGATTCAAAAGCAATCGTACACATGGGCTCCAGTACCTTAAGGGAACAAACAGCGTATGAAGCAATCGTTAGTCATCGGCTACCATGAGACTGCATCTCCTTACGATGTTCCACTGCCTTGTGGATTAGACCTTTGAGTCGAAGGCTCCGGGTGTGACCCACTAAGAAAGCCACCTGCTTCGGTTTCGGCATCCGGGCAGTATAACAGCCCTCACACAAATCTCATTTGATTTGTGTGGCATATATCTATTCGGTGCCCCCCTAATACCAATATCTATGTATTCAAATAAATAAATAAGTACTTCTGATAAATTCGACACTTAAATGAGTTATTGCCTATAGTAAAAAATAATTGATGAGAGGAATCTTTTATGTAAGAAATGAGGAGATTAGCCAAAACATTGATGAATATAATAATCATACATAGGCATATAATTTGACATTGTAATTATTTTTATTAATCATGATTATAGAAAGAATAATCATAAACGGACTGACTAATTAACTGTGTATAAACACACTCTCATGAATACTATTTTATCACCAAGATGGAAAAACTTGAACATGATATCCGAAAGATATAAATGTTAACGTGAGTTCACAGCAATAAGTAACCTGGTATTTAATCTACAGAGAAGTATTAGATAGAGGTTGTGACATAGCAGTAAAATTGAGAGTAACAAATTCCATACTCAACATTGAAGTTATAATGTCGACTGTATTAGGTTAGGACATTTTCCTATGGGTAAGCAGTAGCTGTAGTGATACGATCCACTCATAAATGGAAGGAATTTCCCTTTATGAGGTTACTTAAAAGCATTTTAGGTTGACAAGATTGCCGAAAATCGTCAAGTTTTCTTTTCAGTTTCCAGTCAACTATCTCCAAACATTATCTAGCATTAAAAATACAGTGCATGCGATGTTGAGTCAATTAGGCTAGTGGCCACATTACAGTTTGATCAGTAGAATACGACATTCGTCATTACTCATTAATAAACCAATTTTAAATGCATCTCAGTCCAACAGGAAATCACTTGCGACCAAAACAACTCAGTGGTGACATCTCTTAGAAGCTAAGTGACACGGGTTCTAATCCATCACACAGTATCAGTGACCTCAAGATTACAAGTATACCTTTCTAATGAGTGCCAACTGGTACGAAACCTATACATATATCAAATTTTATCATTCGATTACATTGATATTTTAATAAAAGTGTTAATGAATAACTCACTTCACTATTCAAAAAGTTTATCATTGCTTGTTCAGCTAATACTTTTGATTCATTGAATTTTTCTTCAGCAATTTTAACTTCATCTTCAGGCAATCTTGAATTGTTTGCACCTATGAAGAAACAAGAAATATTACGAAAAATATCAGATAAAACATATAAATAATGAAGGAATATACACAGTATTTTCATTTTGAATTATGGTTTCAAACTTTAAAAAGTAGTTGACGTAGTTATATATATATGATAAACTGTGAATTACGTAACAGATATCATGCATGCTATCATTAGAAAGAGTTTGAAATATCCACTGTTGTTGATATTCAAGTTTGAATTTTGATTAATCTTCGAAGGCATATGTGCATCCTCTTATGGGTTGTTTCAGTATAAGCTATTTTGTCAAATTTTTTTTAGGATAAATGAATTGTGACTAGCAGTGGGATTTAAGATGCGGTTTCTGTCCCAGAAGTAGATACTGCGTTCGAAAATCAACACAGATATCCAGCTAACGAGTCCTAAAGAGTACGGAAGTTCAACTCCATCAGAAGTTTCTATCACAATTCTTTTAAATAAATAGCTAATTAATGTGAGAGATTTCTGAAAATTGTTCATTTTAGAGATAGACACGGCGAACTACACTTAACTAGTAGACAATCATATGAAATTATGGAACGATAAACAAGTATTTCACTTTATTCTATTGTATTCATCAACAGTGCACAGCCACTGACCTGCCATGAATTTAACCCAAGATCTTCAGGCCTGGCAACATGTGCATAATATTCAAACCACTGAATCGGGATCCAACAGTTCATTTTCCCAACTTAATTCATTGTATAATCCAACATATATTCAGTGAGATTACTAATGCTTAGTCTTCTCTCTTGATATACTTGGACTTTATTGGTTGAAAATATGAACTATTGTGTATACCGACTCGGTGGTTATATGTTAAAGAACTTGGGTTCGACTCTGAGATAGTAAGTGTACAATCCTGAACAGTTTTTCATAATAGAGCGCAAAAGTAGTTCAATGTTTTCTAGTTTTTTAACAATCGTCTAGATAAAGTTAAAAATTAATGCAAACTATATTCAAATAGTAAACGATAAAAAATCAGTAAAATGTGGTATACTACGGTAACTAAGTTTCATGAACTGGATTATAAAACATCTCACAAATCGTAAAACCACGTTGCCATCTACAAGACTGTTGGGAATGCTAAATCCCCAGAAATCACTTGGTAAACGACTTATTTTTATAATTTTATTTTGGAAATTTGGATTTCTCATTCTCGCATCAAAATCGCTCATGTTTACCTTCAGATTGCGTTTCCCACTTGGAAGAACTTTAAATGCTATTAGTTCGTTTTTTATTCTAATACGCTATTTGTAACATTTTCTAAGGATATTTTATACTGTATATACAGGCTTGAGTTATATGTTCGTTTGTCCGTGCTTATGGCTGCTTGTAGAATATACTTTTCTCTCGGCTGAATCTGGTTTTCTCCCTCTAGTTATCAGGACTGAGATGCATTGGAATAGTTTAGCTTGTCTTACTATTGTGTTACAAACCTTCTTTTCGTTCACCGGTTTTAGGCGATATTGTAATCTTTTCAAACATAACAAAGACGTACGCAAACAAATATTTCTAGGTATTTTAATATTAATGCCAAATTTATTAAATTCGATTTGTTGAGTTTGATTAGTGTCGGGGATATTAGATCCCCAGAACCCAGAACAAACCAACTTCCAGCTGAAGAAGAAATTAGGAAAAGACGATGGAAATGGATAGGACATACATTACGCAAATCGTCAAACTGCATCACGAGGCAAGCCCTAACTTGGAATCCTGAAGGGAAGCGAAAAAGAGGAAGGCCAAAGAACACATTGCGTCGGATAATAGAAGCAGATATGAAAACGATGAATTACAACTGGACGGAGCTAGAAAGGATTGCCCAGGACAGGGTTGGATGGAGAATGCTGGTGAGCGGCCTATGCTCCTTCACGAGGAGTAACAGGCGTAAGTAAGTAAGTAATTTTGAAAATTTGAATTTCTTTGTTTACGTGCCGAAAGCGCTCTCTTCACCTACATGTCGTATTTCCCACTCGGAAGAATCTTAAACGCTATTAGTTCGTTGGATCTTCCAGTATGCTATTTTGTAACGCTTCACAAGGACAGTTTTATGCTTTATATACACGTTTGATTTGTGCCTGTTGTGATCACTCGTGCTTCTGGCTTTTTGCAGAATATATTTCCCCGTTTCAAACTTGGACTTCTCTCCCTAGTGAGCGGGGCTGAGACACATCAGAATAGCTAGCTAGCTTATTTGGTCTTTGGTCACAAGTCTTTGTTCCGTTCTCAGACTACGTGAACTCGTAATCGCTTCATACATAGCAACTAGCATGATGGATACGAAGCTATTTTTACAGTTTTTTATTGTGTTATAATATGATTAATCAGTATACTACTTAATTACATCCAGTTTAAAATGATATCCAATAAGAAATTTGATCAATCTAATGTCATTTCAATATAATCCTATTTGGAAATGTTAATAGTCTATGATGAGATATGTTTACATATTTTGTATTAAATCTATAGAATAAATGATAAGAAAATACATTTTAGTCAAATAATAGACATATTAACCATAGAATATGGATTCATATAATATAATTTAAAAGAGATACACTTTGGAATGTGACAGCATATTTGAAATAGTCACCTATTTATTCACTTATCAATAAAAAAAATACAACAATAATAGGAACTGAATAGAAACATTCTGAATGTATGTATTGCGAATGTTGTTTAATATGTAATCATTTTAGTTAAATGATGAATGAAAAACAAAATACACTTTAGGTATTGCTACACTATAGAAGAGGTCATAGATTTGAAAATTTATCTAATATCAACTTAGACAATCGATTAGTATTGTAACCTCTAGATAATAACCATATATATCAGTTTACAAATATATTTGAAGGGGTTTTGTGTGGATATTATAGTAATTTCAATAGTTGAGATCATGAGTCAATTGAAGATAGATCACCATGAAAAACCTAGAAGCACTGGACAACCGTTTCGTCCTATTGTGAGATTCACTAGTGACTAGCTTCAAGAGGCATTTCTTGGAGTTCTAGTGAGAAGCAGTGATCAGTAGAGTTCAACCGGGTCTGTTGTGAGATAATTCACTGAAGACCGTGGTAGATGTGTCGCTTAATTTCGTGGATTAGTTGAAGTTAGACATTATCACAGTTACATGCCGGCTCAGTGGTCTAGAGTTTAAGCGTTCGCCCTGGGTTTGGATCTCGCGAGGTGGGGTCGTGGATGTGCACTGCCGAGGAGTCCCACAATAGGACGAGATGGCTGTCTAGTTCTTCCAGGTTTTCCATGGTGGTCTAGCTTAAATTCACTCATGAAATTAATATACATATGTTGTCTTCTTGTGATTCAGATTTGCTTTATTAATTTAATGTCGAACAGATAAACTATCACCATCATGAAATTGTAGATGTTCAATGAACAGATGACATTGATCACTCCATAAACTAATTAATTAAGGGGAGAACAATTTGACAAATGACTACATATACTTAGATCCATTGACAGTGGACAATTTTTACAATTAATTAGCATGTAATACAGTGACAAAAACGAATGAAAAAATTAATTGTAATTTACATTTCAAGTTAAATGATTCCCTATTCTTATACATTTATCACCCGCTTTTATCATATACTACATATTAGTTAATATACTAACCACCTGTCGTTTAAAAAAACTACAGAACAATATGTCTAAGGGCGCAAAGACAGACATTATCAACAAAGAGTCTGGCACAGATAACTGTTCCTTCAAGATGTCATACCTAATTAGCATGAAGAGATCAAAATAACAAGATATAAACCAAAACAGACCGAATTAATGCAGTGGCAATTTTGGAATATGGTTCTAAAAGACAGAGTGAAAAAAGTATATGAGAAAGAATACCGAAATCTATAACTGAGAAAATATAAAGCATGAAAGCATCTGCTCAATTATGGACATTTTTCAGCCATTTTATCCAGAGTATGCAACCATATCAACATAGTTTAGTTCAACAATTAATGGCTTTATAGAGTGACGCCATGTGTCGATTTGGATGCTTCTAACATCCTTACAACATACTTCTAAACTAACAACCATCGCTCATCAAGATAACCGAGGATTGAGCTTCCTTAATGCGTCCTAATTCATTGAGTCGATAAAGATTAACGACCTCAATAACTGGTTCGTGACCTTTACCTAGTACCCTACGATAGAATTAGCCCCAACATTACTCACTTGGTCGTTTCACACAAAAAAGGATAATGTTTCGAAGACACTTTTGAAAGTTGATAATTTTTAAGTCACAACTGGACTATCTTTGATTAGATACTAACGTAAACGTTTCGTATCGCTAGTCAACTGGTTGTTAGTTATATGGATTATTATAATCTAGCAAGAATGTGTAACGATACGAGATGCTACAAATCAACGTACATGAAGAGACTAAACAAATAAGAAACAGAAGAAAAAGGAAATAATAATATTACCCTCTAGTGAAACATTAAATATAAGAAACATTGTTTCCAAAAGGATTGAATGAGACGAGAGAATAAAGTAATTTCATACTCAAGATACAGGGGGAATTAGACAATGAATGTAAGTGCTATCAATTTTAAAATGTGTTATTCAACGTTTCCAAACTCAAACCTGAAATTTTATATCAATTGATGGAATCTCAATTCAATAATCAATGATCATTTGAAATGATCTCATACCTTCATCTAACCGACAATAACATTTTTCTAATCCAAATCCCACATTAGCAAACAGGTGATGTATGCGAAATGTTGACATATATTTCAACTGCCTCAATCAATGATCGTGTATAAGGTACCTTATTAATTAGTTTACCATTTTTAACTATAAAAGTTTAACTTCAGCAATAATTATGAAGGTATCTAATAACAAAGAATTGTAACCTATATAGGTGTCTATTAATTCAATAGGTCAAGGTACTCACATAATCATTGATTACATGATCATTTTAAAGAACCATAGAACGTGAACAGAATGTTGTGAT